AGTGTGCCGAGCACACTGCGTGCTATCGCCGCCGTACGAATACAACCTAACACGGCTCTTCGCTGTGATCATCATCGTCATCGTGTATACGTGTGTGGTTTGCAGCCTCAGCTTCGCTCGCTCCCAGCGCTACACTCGCGTCTGGAGCTACACTCGCTCCCAGCGCTACGCTCGCTCCCGGCGCTACACTCGCTCCCAGCGGGGCCGGAAACGTCGGTGAGTCACAAATGTGCATAGAGTAGGAGTTGCTTGGATCAGTTTCTGAAGAACCACAAGCTGTGCAGCTCTCTCGACTATGATCACGAATGACCATCTTTATTTCGTGTTCCAACTGTTCGTGTATCCATCGTTAGCGCCAAACGTGCATGCACAGAATGTTGTGCATGCACCATGAAAGTCTACGTCCCAAGGTCGGGTACATGAAGGGCCACCCCGCTGCTCCGCCCGCTGGCCGTCGCGCCGTCGGCGGTGCTGCTACCAGGCAGGGCACCGGGCCCGAAACACTACCCTTTCCTGCAATTGGCCAGTGCAGATGGGCCCGCATGTGGTCACCCCCCCACATGAACACAGCTTAGTTCACCTCAAAATGGTACGCTAGGTGTCCTGAGCACACTGCGTGCTATCGCCGCCGTACGAATACGACCTCACACGGCTCTTCGCTGTTATCATCATCGTCATCGTGTATACGTGTGTGGTTTGCAGCCTCAGCTTCGCTCGCTCCCAGCGCTACATTCGCTCCCGGGGCTACGCTCGCTCCCAGCGCTACGCTCGCTCCCGGCGCTACGCTCGCTCCCGGCGCTACGCTCGCTCCCAGCGGGGCCGGAAACGTCGGTGAGTTACAAATGTGCATAGAGTAGGGGTTGCTTAAGTAATTTTCTGAAGAACCACAAGCTGTGCAGCTCTCTCGACTATGATCATGAATGGCCATCTTTGTTTCGTGTTTCAACTGTTACTGAGATGTCACGGCCGCTCCCACCGTTGCCGGAACGGGTGGCGGAACCGTCGGTGAGTCACTGATTCGTTTGTCGGTCCCCTCTCTCGGGTTGGTCGTGCTGCCCAGCGTGGTGTTTCGGCGCACACACACGTTTTGTTTTTTTGAGCGCTTCCAGAATGCTCCGGATGAGACTATTTTCAATTTTCGTACTACCTGCTGTTGAGAAGCACGATATCCACTACGCCACCAGTCAGCATTGACGAGTGGTCTAGTTGTCATCGTGCTTTTCAACACAAACTATGTCAGGGGTTCTAATCTCCCTAGAGCATATTGAATTCATTTGCGCTCGATTTATGGTAACAAAATGTCTGAAGAACTAGGCTTCGCAAAACATGCCATGACATGTTGTTATCGATCTGGCATGCACAGCGCTGATCACAGGGATGACAACCCTGGGGGGGATGTGTTCGTGGCTTGAAAGCTTGACGGACTCGGGCATGAACTATTGTTTGGAAGCACGATGTCCACTAGCGCTGACTAAGGGTCTAGTGGTCATCGTGCTTCTCAACACTTGCTACCCACAAGATTCCGGCTCTTGGCCTGGGCATTCATATAACCACATCACTCGCTGCTCAAGTCTCCACCACTGATAATGCTCGACGACGAGCTGAATCGGAGAAGGCAAACGCTTGGTAATCTCTCTCATGTTTTCGTCCCACAACCTGTTCGCGCTTGTGGTGCAAGCACACCAAATCCCACACGACCACCCGGGATTGACTCGCGTTCGACGTATGCTCCGAATACCTTTCCTCCCACCGCAGGGTCGAATTCCACAGAACCCTTGAGCGGTAATGGCGACGACAACGACCCAGACTCAGAAGGTAAGGACCTTCCCCCAAGAAAGCATAGTGTCAAATAGAAGTCCTCAAACCTTACTTTGCCGACAACCAAGTCGCTGCCGCCCAGCCGTATTACGCTCGGAGCGTCTCTACAAGTCTATGTCCCATTTGTGAGCACAATTCACGGGCGTACGGCTCTTCGCAGGGAGGGACAAGGCTGGTCGCTGTAGTCACCGTGTCAATTGCTGCCGTTGCCGTTGAGGTAGACGACGCGGGGCATTTCGTGTTAGAGATTAACTCCTCCCTCCTCTCCTACAGGGTCAAGCATGCGGTAGTAGGGCCTCGAAACCTACCAGCGTTCGGCGGCGGCAACAAGAATAAGAGGTGGACGAGCTCTCTCTTGGAGAATGGCGCAGCCGCCGAGAGGGATACAATTCCCTGACAGTTGATACAACGATAACGAAACACATTGTTACAAATGACGCAGGGCGACAGACAGACAGACAGACAGATAGATAGATACACCGTAACCGTTTCCGCTGCGAGTCCCTTGGAAATAATGACCTAAGAGAAAAGCTCGACCGCACCCGCTGCTTCACGCGAACTGCAAGCAAAGCTCTGTTGTCGAGACCGAATTATTCTGACAGTACTGTTGGCTCTATGGCAAATCCTTTCGTTGGTATGCAGTTTTCGCCAACCCGCCTGCTAAACTCCACATTCGAAAGGAAAACGGAGGACGGGGGTGGGGGGGGGTGCACTCATAGTCGTGCATGCCGTAGTCGTTAGACCATTGATCTCGCATCCCTACATAGCCGGGACGGAGCACGCCGGGTTCTCACCGGGCCAGGCTCTCACATCATCAAGCGCGAAGCGCCGTGAGGTATTCGGCGAGCCGAGTGAAGGATGCGCTGCATCCTGCTAAGGGTTTTCGGCATCTTGTGCTTACTTCCTCGCGTACGAATGACAGCTGCGTACGACTTAAATCTATTTTCTGGTGCTTTCACTTCCAAAGACAGTTGTAAGCACAGTGTAACTGCCTCGAGGGTGCTTTACCAACTGAACACAACGTGTTGCAATTTTCCCCCTTGCGCAGAGTGAGGGTTCTCGACCCCGAACAACATAACCTATTCGACACAATCCATGGTTGCCGAAAAAAAAAAAAAAACGGAGGACGGGGGATGGGGGGGGGGGGGTGTACTCATAGTCGTGCATGCCGTAGTCGTTAGACCATTGACCTCGCATCCCTACAAAGCCGGGACGGAGCACGCCGGGTTCTCACCGGACCAGGCTCTCACATCACCAAGCGCGAAGCGCCGTGAGGTATTCGGCGAGTCGCATGAAGGGTGAGCTGCATCCTGCTAGGGGTGTTCGGCATCTTGTGCTTACTTCCTTGCATATGGATGACAGCTGCGTACGACTTAATCTATTTTCTGGTGCTTTCACTTCCAGAGACAGTTGTAAGCACTGTGTAACTGCCTCGCGGATGCTTTACCATTTTAACACAACGTGGTGCGATCATCCCCCGTTGCGCGGAGTGAGGGTTCTCGACCCCGCACAACATGATCTACTCGACCACCATTATGGTTACCGCAAAAACAAAACCAGAGGTAAAAAAAAAAACAGTAACCTGGTTGCCGAGTTCACGAAGCGAATTGGCTTGTTTTACAACGTCGTTTCCAAGCGACGAAAACCCAATCCCGATGGCAAACGCCGAGGGGGGCGGGGGGGGGAGGGGGCGTACTCTTATGTTTTGCGTGCCTTAGCGGTTAGACCATTGACCACGCGTCCTCGAGAGGACGGAGCATTGTTCCCACAGGACCGATCACCGATGGCCAATCGTTCCTTCCTACTTTGCCAAAGGTGGCTCAAAAATGTCTTCCCTAGTCTGTCTATCCTAACGATATCCCTTCCCGCCTTTTCAAACCACTTCCTACTCCCCAGTACAGCTACCATCCTCTCCTCTCTATTCCATGCCTCAAACATGTTCCTGTACGTCCCTTGTGTTTTTCCCAGCTCAGTCATGTACACTTCCCTCTCCTCTTCGTACCACGGACATTCCGCGACTACATGAACACGGTCTTCGCATTCGAAGCCGCAATCACATTTGAACTTGTCGTCTTCGTCGTCTACCGTCGTATGTCTTCGTCGACGTTCTCGAAGGCCTATGTCCCCGGTCCTGAATTTGACCTTAAGCTTTGTCCCTGCATCCATTGGTCCATGTAGATAATCCTTGAACCCTATTCCTTCTTTCAACATTCCGTACACTTCTAGACCCTCCTTATCCTTGGTTTCTTTCCTTAGATTCTGTTCTTCTCTCTCGGCACAAGCAACAGATATCTTCTCCTTGAACCCCTGTAGACCCTCCGTTTCCAGCATTTCATCTTCGTCGATGTCTAACCCCTTCCATACGTCCTCTACAACTTTGACCCATTCCGTGGGTTGTCTACCCCTCTTTTTGTTTTGCTCACTTCGCCTCCCATACTATTCTCGGCAACCTCTCCTCTCCCATCGCGCACATGCGATACTGCCATGTCATCTTCCTTGCATCTCTTCCCGACCGTAGGGATTGGATCCCCAATTCTGCCCTTACGGCTGCATTACTTGTGCGCTTGGAGCATCCTAGGATGATTTTCGCTGCTTTCATCTGCGCCGCCTCGAGTTCTTTCACTGCCTTCTTATTCCTTCCCATACTTCTCCGGCGTGCTCTAGCGGCGGTACGATTGCGCTTCAAAACCGCCAATTTGGTGCGTGTATCGAGGTGCCGGTTTGCGAGTTTTGGGTGCAGCTTCCCTGCTCGTGCTTTGCCTTTTCCCGCTATCTTGGACATGTGTGCATTCCACGAGCGGTCGTTTGCGATCTCTACTCCGGGGAATATAGACCCCCGCGTGCGTAGCCCTCGTATTTTTTACGCGATATGCATATAATCACGAAATGACCTCTGAACGCTTTTTGTTTGTTGGTTTCGCGGGGAAGATCAGTTTTGCCCATGCATGAGTATGCGTGTTTCGCGTAAATTCTTGGCGATGTCGGTAGTCTCTTTTTCTTCATCTGTTATCTCGAGACTACCCCATATGTCATATGTGGGTGCATGGATGTATGTAGTGCTGTCAAGCCGCCGTCGAGAGCATGCACTCTGTGTGCAGGTATTGCTACGCATCTTGAACCCCATACGAAAAGTAAAAATACTCCAGACAAGGTACGCCGACTACAGGTACTCTTCGCGTGAAATGTCACAGTGCACACCCATCACCATCCAGCTCTTTTCGGAAAATTTCCCACCTGTTTCGCATCCCTGGCCGAACAAGCAGCTCCGCTGGGGGCCGTCGTTGGAGGTACGGTGGCGGGTGTGCTGGCGGTTGTCGCCGTCATCGCAGCTGTCCTGTTTAAAACTGGCCGCTTGAATATCGGCCCTAGGAAGAATTCTACTTCTTCTGCCGACGACGCCGTAAGGGTTCCTCCTGGTAGCTCTGGGCCCACAGACAACGGGCGTCCCGCGGCTGCTGCGGCCCCTGTAGCTCATAATCAATATCCCGTTGCCTATCAGTACCCCGAAGCCCCATGAATCCGTGTCATCCTTTGTTTAGCGATGTGAGTGTTCTACCTTCCCTGTGATACTTTGACAACGCACACCATGGCCTGTTGCCGTGGGCTCCGTCTATGGAATGAAGGCAGTGTAACAGGATTGAATTCACGCAAATACGCGCGTATTTATGCCGGGGGTGTGTCCGATGGTTTACATGTGTGCCCTGTAGAAAAAGAGTTGTGGCGTTTGATTGAGTATGTGGCGTTTCGATTCAGTATTTTCGTGATTGTATATTTCTGAAGTCAACAATTGTTTAACCTTTGTTGCGATGACAGAGTGTGTTGAAGACGACGCGACGAGTATGTTGTGCTTGACAGGATGATGGTTCGGATTAGGTAGACGTATGGTTAATGCTTCACCGCCCGTGTGTTGTCGCTGTTGTGCGTTTGGTGCGATGTGCCACGTTTTGACGTCGAGAACACTTTCGAAAGTTGGACTGCGTTTGCCTTGGCGATTGGATCTATCTACTGTGTGATGCTGTAATTTGTTTTCACAGGTAGACCGCACGATTTTCTCCTGTGTTCCACTGTACGATGGGATGTGACTGATGGTCGTCGCCAGTGCTGCTTGTTTGTGGAGATGATGCTACCACCGGAAATGGATGCGACTTTAAAACCAATAATACTAACATACAAAAACCCGAAGATCACTCGCAGTCCCGTACTAGCGGCGGGCGCTTTTCTTATGTGTCTAGAAACAAATCCAGGTCTGATCTGACGAGAGCGCGAGAAACGCCTTCGGATCACCATGGCCAGTTCCCGAGCTGAAGCTCCGCTGCGCTTGCATACAGGCACAGCGGTGAGGATATGTTTTTCGCGCTACATATCTACACGAGTGGATGTTTATCCACAAAGAAAGGGAACGTCCGCGAATCCCTCGAAAGCGTGAAACCTGCACTTTAGAAAACGAAGTTGTTCATGGACCTACAGATAGAAGTCTTGTCCCAATTTGGGGGACATGCGGAGCCACCCCAGCCCTTCGCCCACTACCTGTGTCGCACCTCTGGCTGTCGCGGCCGCCGGCTGTGCTGCCATCAAGCGTGCGATTGGTTTAGAATCACCACCCTTCCCCACCACAAGTGAGTAGTGCAGACGCAGATAGATGCGCCAACACCTGGTCTCCCACAAACATGAGCGTGAATGCAACGATAGATACAACTTTTTGCCCCTCCAAATGCGCGTGCCATGTGTGTAAGTGCCTGTGCCACTATTTCGCGTGTGTTTGCCAAACCCCATGAATACCAACTCAAACCGCTCATCGTTGTTGTCGTCTGTATAATACACGCAGCCCCAGCAAAATTCTGATGCCCTCTAAAAGGGAGCCGGTAAAACGAGACCTGCCAGTCTCGTTTTTTATACGCGACCCCGGGGACAAAACATGCCCATCCCCGGGATATCGTATAAAAAACGAGACCCCGGGGACAAAATGATCACATCCCCGGGGTCTCGTTTACTAAACGAGACCCCCGGGGACAGGACAGAACCATCCCCGGTGTTTCCACCCCCAGAATTATGGCTCTCCCGCAGCTCGCAGCTGGGCGGGGCGCCGTGCACCAGACAACCACTTCGTTCGCTGTGTTTTATAGGGTTATTATTAACGCAACGTCGAAATCGTTCTTATTTAAACGGAACGGTTAAAAGAAAACCCGACTTTTTTTTGCTTGTTCTTTTCGTGATGTCATCGCAAAAAGTACGTTTCCTTCCCTGAATACACGCTTTGCTCGGCACACAACAGGTTGACATGGTATTGCTCACCATAGAGCAGCGATAAAAGCGCAATAAGCAGCACCCGGCACAGAGGACAACACACTTAGAAAGATCCCGTCCACCCGGCCTGCTGTTTTCAGTTTTCAGCAACAACAGGCGCACGGCAGAGTGTCGCAACCTGGGTGTTGCTTGCGATTTCTTCAGTTTGCCAGCTCATTTTTCACGGTTGGTTGCGACTCCCATCTTTGACCACCACCTACCCAAAGGTAGACGGGCTCAACAATCATAGGGCGGCAGCCGCGCTGACGGCCAGCATCATATAGATGGCCAATCCGAAAGAATTAGCGTGTTGGAGGCCCTGTTGCTCTACTGCTGCGTGACGCCGTGGATTGATGTTGATGTGTCCGACCAAAAACAGATCATCTCGCCGCAATTTTTCCAACGGCATTTTGGTGAGGTGGCACACGTCTCTCACACACCTTATTGAGCAGCACCCAAGCACTCAATACCCACGAAGCAGCACGGCGCCGGGAGATGGTATCATATAGATAGACAGCCGAACCGAAGGAATCAGCGCTTCGGAGGTCTTGGTGGTGGTGCTGTACTCGTTCTACTGTTTCCGTGTTTGCTATGTGTGATCGAAAAAAATTCCCCAGCAGCACCAACAGCAGCAGCAGTTGAAGACGAGAGCACCACGCAATGTCTGAACGCCGCTTCTGCCGCTTGTCCATCTCCACAGCAGACCTGGACGTGAGTCTGGCAGGTCTTTCTAGCGTTCTCAGTGATGTTACAGCGCCCGCGGTGCGCTTGTCCGATGCTTCTGTCAAAAACACGAATTCGTTTAATGAGTAGCAAGCCCCAAAAAAACCCGGCTCCTTTTCACGCTTTCGGGGAAAAACGCCTCCATATGTGTTCAAGAAAACACGGTTTCGTTTTTTTTTTCGTGTTTTATTGGTCGATAAGAAGCACATACTTTCTTTTCTTCCCCTCGCTGCCTCGGCAAGGTTTTGCTTAGGCATGACCCAAAGCGAGGGGGGGGGTTAATCGCGGAACTAGACCATCCGGCCAGTCAGCCTCTACTATGAATGACACTGACGGCCGCTCGAGCA